ACCTCATATCTGTCATTTCCCACAAGTTTTTTGACTTTGAATGGACCCAAGTGGTCTAAATGAAGTGTATGAAAAGGTTGAGCATATTTTGGCATTGGAAATAATTCGCCTTCCTTGGCACCCCCTTTGTTTTTGAAGTATATACAATTTAAACAATTTTTTATGTACTTTTTTATAATACGACGCATGTGGGGAAACCAGTAAAACTTTGATATTCTTTCTACAGTTTTGTCTACAGAAAAATGTCCAATGTCATCATGGTTGTATTTAATTATTTGCCAAATACATTTTTTTGGTACCGACCATCGACGACCCTTTGCTGTTCTTCTGTAAACTTTTGACCCAAGCAATTCGTATTTGTCAAAAACATCTCTATTTTGGTCGGCCTCTCCCGATTCTAAAATTGATTTTAATTGTTGAATTTTAGAGTCTTGTGTTTGCACTAACAGCAACCAATCTGCTTCAGTAATGGACATAATGATTTCAACTTCAGACTTTTCCCCCCGAAACTACAGGATTTCGACTTAATGCATCAACATGCAGCATACGTGTACCTGCTCTATGGACAATTTCAAATAAAAATTCTTGTGTAGCTAATACCCATCGAGCTATGCGTGGGACAATATCTTTTTTTAGTGAGCGCATATCGTACAGCACTGCAGTCAGTTATGATTTTAAAATTTGAACCTAACAGATATAGGCGGAATTTTTGGAGCGAACAAATAATTGCCAACAGTTCTAATTCAAATGAATGGTATAATTTTTCATTTTCGGTAGTTTGCCTACTATAATAATGGACTGGTTTTTCTCCCTCATTTGTAATTTGCATAAGTATTCCTGCAATACCCTCTCGACTAGCATCAGTGTATAAAACACTATCTCTATTGGGATCAAAAATAGACAGGAAATTATCTGATGTTAATTTATTTTTTAACGATTGAAATGTCTCTTCTTGTTTGTCTTCCCAAGCCCAGGTAGTATCCTTCTTTAACAGTTTTGTCAAAGGCACCAAAATCATTGCGCAATTTTTAATAAATTTCCGAAAATAGCTTATTAGACCAATGAACTGTCGAAGTTGGTGTACTGTTTTGGGTCTTGGAAACTGCCTAACTGATTCTAATTTCGCTTCATTTGGCATAATTTTCCCAGACTTTACTCGATAACCTAAGAACTCTATTTCACTTTTGAAGAAATGACACTTTTTTTAGATTCAGAGTCAAACCATTCATCCTAAAAATTTGCAATATCTGTTCTAATAACTTCAAATTTTCTTCCACCGTATTTGTTACAAGATAAATATCATCTAAATAACTATTACATTGTTAAACCTTAAATTACCTAAAACTTTATTCATCATATATTGAAAACAAGATGGTGCATTAACTAAACCAAAGAGGAGTCTGAGAAACTCATAATGGCCATCTTCCGTGATGAATGCAGTTTTGGGTATTGAATTCTCGTTCATTAATATTATAACCACTTTTGAAATCAAGACTTGAAAAACATTTGTGACCAGAAAGTCTATCAATAAGGTCATCAATACGTGGCATAGGGTACTTATCCTTAATAGTTATTTTGTTTAATAACCGATAGTCTATACAAAGTCTTTTTTCTCCATTTTTTTTTTGTTACAAGAAGTGCGGGGCTCGCATAAGACGATCTACTTTCGCGTATGATGTTATTTTCTAAAAGTTCATTTACTATATCACGTATTATTTTTCTATCGTTATTAGAAGTCCTAAAAGGTCTGCACTGAATCGGTTGTATATTGTTAACGTTAATTTCCATTTCGTGATGATTAACTTTCCCTAACTCTTTAGTATTGAGTGCTACACAATCTCTATATATACTGAAAATACATTTTAACTCGTTATGATGAGAGTCGGTGTCTAAATCTAGTTCATTAATACTTTTACAGGATTCGCTGTACCCTATTGCATAATGAAACCTAAAGGTATTTCCTACACGTATGTACATCAAATCTGATCGCTCAGTTACATTCCTACCTATCAAAATATCATAATCCATCAAATCATCAAGCACATAAATGTCAATTTGCGTTAAAGCTATAGAGTCCATTTCTAAATCAACGGTTATCTTATGACTCACAAATTTTGAGGATTGTTTAGAAAATCCTTGCAATAAAATCGGAGAGGATAAAGGACTAATTTCAAAGCAATTATTCTTTGCGAATGACTCTGACACTAACGAACAACTACTTCCAGTATCTATAAAAGCTTCACACTTCACGTGATTTAGTATTATATTTTTAACGAATTTGTTACGAGGGTTGGGGGTAGAAATAAATTTAGTTTCGTGCGTTTCGGTTTTCGTCAGTTTTTTGTGAAAGCATACAGCTTCTAAATGTCCCCTTTTCCCACAGAAGTCGCATTTATTTTTATCACATTGATTTCGTTTATGATTCCCACCACAAATGAAGCATTTTAACGATTTACGTTGTATGTTCTGCATGGTCGCTAGTGAACCAGATGGAACAGTTTGATCTATTATGGTTATACTACCTCCATTTGTGGAGGAAGTAGTTGGTTGTGCGACGGTTTGTCGTGGTTGGTTTTCACAAGGAACATTTGAAGATTTAGGAAATTTGGATTTGTATATTCGACCATGCAAAAAACTTGCTAGATTATCACATGTTGTAAACTGATTAGCGTCTATTGATGCTAATAAATTTGCCTCTCCTATGTTCCCTAAAATAATAGATATAATATCTTGTTGTGTAAAGTTTAGTGACAAACGATCGATTTTACATTTTTGATCAAAGTAAAAATCGTATAAAGATTGATTTTCTATGGGTTTTTTATCGAGTATTTCTTTTAGAAGATCAAAAATATTTCTCCTACTTTGAAAACAAGCCGATAGCTTTATTCGCCAATCTTTCCATTTCCAAGATGGCCACTGATATTCAGTATGTAATAAGGAGTCGTACCATGTTTTAGCGGAACCTTTCAATTTGTTCAAAGCTTGATAGCGAATCACTTCATCCGACCAGGCAAACGTTTGAGAGTAAGATTCGATAATATTAAGCCATGCATTTACGTCGTCTATTAACGGGTCAAATTCTGGTATGATATTGCACAATATTAAGCTGTTGTTTGTACTTACAGTCGCGGTGTCAGTTTTGTGTGCTACCTTTTTCCTTTGTCTCGGTGAGGGCGACGGTGTTCGAGCGCTACTCGAGCTACTCGACGTCGAACTCGAGCGTCTTTCGCGACGTTTAGAGCGCTTCCTGCGAGAGCCCATTGGCGCCTAATATCCCACTTCTGATGTTAACTAAAACCTCACTTTCAATCATCAAACTATTTATTCACTAATTTGCATACATCACACATAGCTATCAATAATCACAACACTTTATTTTATAATTTACACTAGTTGTCACAGCGCGAGCGGAACTAAGACTGCCATGCTTAGGTCGGTTGCTTGCTTATATAGTCGCCATCTTGCACGTGAACGTCATTGTGCGCCGCAAGATGGCGTCACCGGCGTCAACTTCCGGTCGATTAATGTTGATTTCATTAAGTTGCCAACAATCAAAAAGCTGAATCAGGATAGAGTTAAAAATTTCCTGCTTCAGGTCTTAGAAGGTGCATCGAAAACTGCATCCCAGTCAATGTTACCAAGATCAGCCAAAAAACGCTGTTTGTCGATGCCATTGCGATTTCGCTGCATGATTACTCGAGTTTTAGGCTTGGGACATCGAATTTTATACGAGATGTAGACAAGGTCGTGGTATGTAAAGGCCTCGGCGGAGAATTTACCATGAGCGCTAACGTGTTCGACGGAGGAGACTATACCAAGATCTAGTAACGAAGGCTGGCAGTTTGGGAAGTTATGAGTGGCACTCAAATAGTCCTTTTTAAGGAGGCAGGTGTTAAAGTCACCCATTATAATAGTATGATCCACTGTGGGCACCAAAGCCTCCACCAAAAACTCGAAGGAGTTAAAATAATCAATGTTTAAATTAGGGCTGTAGAAGACCCCAAGAAGAACCCGCAGATGCCCAAAGAGAACTTTAACGAAAAGATGCTCAGAAGATTCTGAGTAAAGTGAAGGAGAATTACTGATAACATTGAAAGGAAGATGATTCCTAAGATATAAAGCCACTCCACCACTTCCCTTACCAGTTCTATCGTTACGAATCAAATGAAAGCCGGGAAAGGAGTACGAGGAATTAGGGAGACAAGGTTTTAAAATGTTTCCGATACCAAAATAGCATGAAGATGTTGATTACCAGAAAATGTAGATAGTAAGTCCGGATCGTGTGCAGGAACACTCTGAGCGTTAATGTGTACCACATTAAAGTTACCACATTAAAGCAGAAAAGTTGCTTTTCAACAGCGAGTCCAAAGTCAAGTTCGTGCTATGAAAACTGCCACCCGAAGACGTAGAAGAAGATAAAGAAACAAAATCAGAGGCATTATCCGAAATCTCAGATTATCATCATCCGAATCTGATACATTCAAACAATAATCATTTATATTATTGTTTGAATGTATCATTAAAATATATACCTATATTAAATGTTATGTATTTATTGTATATTATATAAAAATATGGTATAATAATAAAACAAACAGATTAAAAATAATGATAATAAAAGCTAATACATATAATAAAATAAAATAAAGCAAGTGGGTGTTTTCTGTAATTTATCTACACGCTGGCAGTGTGGAATAAAATCGTATTCAAAAGTTTCAACACATCGAATAAAAAAAAGCTACATTATTCACAATCGTATAAACAAAATTCATGGCTGTATGGAAATATTCCTTTGCATAGTCATAACAAAAGAAAATATTGACATTATAATTTGACAGATGGACAATAACAATCAAAACAATAATATTAAATGTGAAATAGTGAAAATACGCTACAACTATTATTTAAGCCACCTAGAAAACCCAGCTAAATTATATTGTTAGTGTTAACCAGTCAAACCATATTGTTAAATTATAAGAGTGGACAACAAACTGTGTATATTAATGTTCTGAAGCTAAGGCGGTAAGTTCTGTCATCGATTCCAACTTTCGCCTTTTGCCATTTGGAGTCTTGATGTGAATCGTCCCATCTAGTGTCCAACAATTGGAAACGCCAAATCTCTGTCTTGTAGCCGTAAATACGTCGTGTCGGGTCTTGGTTAAGAACTCTGAAAGAGTTATCTTTGTACCTTTAAGCATGGTCTTACTTTTCCAAAGAGCGGCCCGTACCGATGTTTCAGCGAATTTAACAACTATATGTCGTGGCTTGCTACTGTTATTCATTGCTTTGTCCATCCTGAAACTAGCAACTATGCTGTTCATAGTCGGAGAAGGTACAGAACATCTCAAAGCTAAGCTGGAAACTATCTTAGCCCTCGTATTTTCGCCGGATTGCTCAGGCACGCCATGTACAAGAAGCATTTTATTACGGAAACGCATCTCCAGGCGATCGACATTGTTGCGTAGAGTATCTATTTCGGTACGAAGTACTGAGAGACCACTACATATAAACGCCTTGAAATTCAAAAATTCTGTGTTAAGTGCAGCTATAGTGGGACTCTTGCGTGCAGTGGTTGTTGCTTGATTCAGCTCATCCTGGAATTCTGCCATTTTTGCCTCAAACATCTTGGACCTATTGTTTAATTCTTCTCCAACTGTGAGTGGTCCTGGTCCATAGTGCAACTTTTTGAAGAAGAGTGTCAAAGGAAAACAAACACTGCAGGCGAGTAGATCCACCTATACTTTGTAGAATAGCATAGAAATATTTTAATTTATAACAATCTATAAATTTATTTTTAAAATATAAATGGAGCTTAAAATTTTTGGTGTTTAATTGGCAACTACCCCCGAAAAAAAAGAGCTTTGTGCCACACCTGATCGAAGGCTTTCACTATGCCCAAACTTACTGCCAGGGCCTCCCCTTTGTTTCAATTGCGATTCTCTAGGTACCGAAGGAGTTGGCAGTTGAACTCCATTATCTTTTAAAACAAAAGGGTTATAGCCTGTAGTTGGACGGGTTCGAGCGGTCACCTTTTTTTGGGATCGGATGCACTAAAGCAGTCTTCCATGAGGTTGGGACGACGCCAGATGAGTAAGAGAGCCGGAATAGGCGCGTTAAGACCGGTGCCAACACTGGAGGGCACGTCCTTAGCACAATAGAGGGGATACCATCGGGCCCACTCGACTTGTGGATATCGAGGCAGAGTAGTGCTAGACGCACTGAGCTTTGGTGAAACTGGATATCTAGCATAGAGCTCTTACACCGTGGAATGTTGGGCGGTTTCAGCCCCCGGTCATCCAAAATCGAGTTGGATGCAAAAAAGTTACCCAGGAGATCGGCTTTCTCTTTTGCATCATGGACTAATGAGGAGTTATCTTTGTGCAAGGGTGGAAATGAAGGCGTGCAGAAATTACCTTGAATAGATTTGGCAAGAGACCAGAAAACTCGCGTCCCCGAAGGAAGACGTTCAAGCTTCTCGCCAATTCGTCATTTATTCCATAAAACAATATTCATTGTATCGGAAATTACAATATATAATCACAATAACAAAAATAAGATCAAATTATATAATGATACAATACAAAGTCAAATAAAATTCCACATGCAAAATTACAAATATATCAATGTCAAGGTTGCGCAATTTATGTCAAAACAATCATAGGTAAACAAAAAATGTCAAGTTATTTATTTTTGTCATTCAAGTACTCATCGATTGAATAGTAGCACTTCTCCAACAAAAATGATTTAAGTTTATTTTGAAATATGTGTTGACTGTCAATTTTTTTAAACTCTATCGGCAGAGCATTATATAGCTTGCTGGCTTGGTACCTCACAGAATATATTGCAACGTTCAGTCTTGGTAAAAACTCATTTTTCACATCATTTCGGCGTGTTAGTTTCCTATGCTTTCTTTCCTCATTTGTTTCATATTTATGTATATTTTTTACAAAATGCGTGAGTAGGACTAAAATATACAAGGAGGTGACTGTTAATATCTGAAGTTTTACGAAATGCGGTTTACATGATTCTATTTGTGGAATTCGCATCATAGTGCGTATAGCACGTTTTTGTAGGACGAACGCTGCTGTAATATTATATTTATAGCTATTACCCCAGAACATAATACTATAGCGTAGCCTCGACTCAACAAGGGCAAAATAAACCAATTTTAGCTGTTCTAAAGTTAACTCCTCTCTCAGACTACGAATGGCAGAGCATGCTAAGCTTAAAGTTGAAACCAGAGCCGCCATTTTCCTAGTCCAATTTAAGTCCATGTCAATATGTACACCCAAAAATTTTACCGACTTCACCGAATTGACACCCACACCATCCGCGGCAATGTCCAACGTGTCCCTATGTCTAGCAGTTGATCTAAACAACATAGCACATGTCTTATTTTTGTTCAAAATCAAATCATTTTTAATGAACCAGTTTTCCAAATGCGACAGCACACTGTTCATTTTATGATTCAGTTCGTCCATTGAATTTGCGGAAACTATGGCATTTGTGTCATCTGCATAAATTGTCAATCTTAAGTCAAGTTGTACTGTTGTCATATACGCATCTAAGTCATTAACAAATATAATGAATAGAATCGGACCCAAAATCGACCCCTGTGGGACTCCTCTTTTTAACGACGTCAATTTTGACTTACATACATTTTTCGTATTATCAACTATAGTTCTGGATTCAATAAACTGTCTGCGACCAGAAAGATAGGAATGGAATAGTTTCAAATTGGCATCTCTAATTCCGTAATACTCTAATTTTTGTAATAGTATTTTATGATTTATTGTGTCAAAGGCAGAACTTAGATCAAGAAATCCTCCAACCTTTAATTTATCATTAAGTTTGCTAACCACATCATCCATCAAAGTGTCAACAGCATCTACAGTTCCTAAACGCATCTCATACCCAAATTGTCTGTCACTGAGTATTTGGTTTTGCCGTAAATGTGCCAGCAGTCTAACTTTTATTAGTTTTTCGTAAAGGGTTTAGCCGGATACGTATGACGAGTCGGCCCCCAAATGGGAATCGATATCGAAACTTATGTTTTAATATCGACTTGATGTTCAAACACGATTTATGTACTTTTCGCGACCGACTTCCGCTTTGACCTTGAGATAGAGAGCAAAATATCCGTATGCTTGACTATTACTGAATGTGATATATCTCTAAAGCTAATTAAGATAAAGAAGTGAAACTAACGCGAGGTGTTAGGTTACATTACAGAGTATATCACATATATTTTTTTATAATTTTTAGAATAAAAAATTACATTAAAAAAATAAAAAATAAAAAAATCATGTTTTTTTTTTCTGAGTTCTCTGTGACTTACAATCACGAAATTAATATATGTTATGCTCCTTTGTATGCTCTATTACCCATAAAAATTGCGTGAAAAAAAAGTTGGTGCAACACAACGAAAAAAAATTATATGTGATTTCTGTCTTATGGTATACCCCTGTATTATAAGGTTTTCACATTACATCATTGTTTTTTTTTCGAAATTTCACATCAGCTTGTTTTAAAACATAAGTAAATAGTCTTAAGAGATGGGATAATAGTTAAAAAAGAAATAATAAAAAAAACAGCCAGTGTTCAATACTTATTATTATTACTTTTTCGTGTCTATCAAAATACAAGAAACAAAATATTAATCATCGTCACTGTTGTAATTAATTACAATCGGAACACTTTGAGTCGCAAATACCTTAGTTAGGACCTCAGCAAGACGTACGATTTTGGACAAATATCATCCATATGATAGATAATAAATAATAGCTGCTACATGAGAACAGCATCCCACTGTACGTTTGCCATTGGGGCAATCACAGCAATAACGAAGAATATACTATTGTAGTCATTACCTTCGGAAATATAGTGAATGTAAATTCGATAGACTTTTCTATTTATATGTCTTGATTTTACTTCTGCTTTGATGATATTAGGTGCTGATTTCACATATTGTACTGAGAGATTATTTTGATCGTCCATTATTTCAGCCAAGTTAAATGCTGCACATTTAGAAGTAGAAGCTTTTTTGTTAATATATGGGATAAGTCGACACTTCTTACAAAAAATATCATTAACTATTACGATTTTATTCAAACAGTCACTAAACACTTTAGCTTCTTCTTCATTCTTTATAATTTTTTTATAACCAGGAATCTTACACAGGTACTTGTTACAATTTTTACACTTTCTCGACATTATTACTTAATAATGATTTGGTTCGATAGTTAATAATTTCAAAATGCTGATACAAAATACCTATGACAGAATTTGAGTCCCAAACTGCCTTCTTGTGTAATACAAATGACTGCGACTTTAGCTAAACAAACGATGGAGCAAACAGCGCGATAACAAGTTCGAACTTGTTTGTTTATACACTCACACTACAAGGCGCGAATCACATATAATTTTTTTTCGTTGTGTTGCACCAATTTTTTTTTCACGCAATTTTTATGGGTGATAGAGCACACAAAGGAGCATAACATATATTAATTTCGTGATTGTAAGTCACAGAGAACTCAGAAAAAAAAAACATGATTTTTTTATTTTTTATTTTTTAATGTAATTTTTTATTCTAAAAATTATAAAAAAATATATGTGATATACTCTGTAATGTAACCTAACACCTCGCGTTAGTTTCACTTCTTTATCTTAATTAGCTTCAGAGATATATCACATTTAGTAATAGTCAAGCATACGGATATTTTGCTCTCTATCTCAAGGTCAAAGCGGAAGTCGGTCGCGAAAAGTACATAAATCGTGTTTGAACATCAAGTCTATATTAAAACATAAGTTTCAATATCGATTCCCATTTGGGGGCCGACTCGTCATACGTATCCGGCTAAACCCTTTTAGATAGAGTTGGTAACAAAGAAATTGGTCTGTAGTTTCTTGGATCCGATTTACATCCTTTTTTAAACACAGGAAGCACTCTGGCAATCTTCAGTTGTTCGGGAAACAAATTTTGCTGAACACAACTATTAAAGAAAAGAGTCAAAGGTAAGGCCAATATATCAATATGGTCTTTAATTAGTTGTATTTGAATTTCATCATGCCCGAAAGATTTTTTATTTTCCATCTGATTAATAAGTTTTATGAGCTCATATGAAGTTATTGGCCAAAATAGCATTGTTCCTTCAACCCTCCTTACGCTTCGTTCCAAGATCAATCGTGCCGAGTCCGTACTCTTAGTATCATTATTAGTCGGAATATTAGCTAAATCAAAACAACTCGAGAAAACGTTAATTATCTCCTGTTCATTATTTATAAGTTTATTGTTTACCTTTAATATTATGTTTTCCTTTGCCTTAGTTTCACCTTTTCTACCTCTATTTATGACTTTCCAAATTTCTTTACTGCGATTTGTCACTTTTTGAATATCTCTTTGTATAGCCAACTGTTTTGCCTTTCTCAGTACTTTCCTATATATCTGTATATACATTTTTTTATATTTGCATGCAAATTCACCGTTATTAACTTTGATATTTAGTGTCATAAACCTTTTCATTTTACAAGATACTTTGATAACCTTGGTTAACCATTGATGTTTATTTTTTACGTTTGGTTTAATTTTCATTATTTTTTTCTTAAAGCT